AAATGAACTTTTCCTTCAAAAGCGTGCCAGTTTTGATGCTTAATTTAGTATTAGGTGAATTAGAAACAAATGGACCAGGTTGCATATAAATTGTTGAAGCACACACAGATAGTCGGTTCTACAAAAACCCTCCCAGGAGTGTACTAGAATGAATCAAACGTATTTGTGTTTTTCCTGCCTTCTATCAAAGCACTGAGCACCATTCCAGAATCAAATTTTGAAGTCTTGAATGTCTGCCCTGCTTCTCTCCTAAACATTATTAAAACATTTTAGCTTGTTGAAAGCACAGACTATTTCTCCCCTTCCACAGCCTCAACCTACCTTAACTCTCTCTATGGCTTTTGATAAGTAATTAATCCCTCTGGACACACTTTTTTTTTTTACATAAATTGAAGGCAGTAGTTGAGCTATGATTCTCTTATGTATTCAGTTAAATAGAATTCTCCCTCTGATTTTAAAGGGAATTAATATAAAATTTAATGTTCCTCTTGATTTATTAGCAAAATTGCTTTTGCTACAGTATATTTCTGGTGTGATAGGGTATTTGAAAAATATATCACTTGTTTTCCTTCTAAAACCTTTGGCTAACACTAACTCAAACTACTTTTTATTTTGCTCTTGAGATAGATTCACTTAAATATTATTTTCCTTTTGCTAACCTCAACAGCCTGACACAGTATATTACTTTTTGAGTCACTGTTCTCCTTTTCATTTTCAATATTTTCTTAGCCATAACTTTAAGAAAAGCCTTTTGTAAAGCCACATTGAATACTTCTAGCTCTTTATTTTCTTTTCTGTGAAAATTGTAAGGTATTGTAGTTCAATTATAGAACTCTTACTCTCTGCCCTAGAGACTAAGACTTGACTTGACTCCCATGTATTCATTTTATTTTTTTCCTCTTTCAATTCTAGATTCTCTTTATTTAAAACTTTGGGTGTCCAGTTTAAAATTCCATGTGGTTAATTTCTTTTTATTTAATTCTAAAACAGCTCTGATGTGTTCTCCTTATCAGTTGGCTATAACATCATTAGCAGTACTATCAGGCCAAATGATTGTGAGAGAAAGGAAACCAAAATGGATGACTCCACTGTCTTTAAGTGTTTTGAAAACATGTGGTTGGTTCCACTGGCCTCCTAAAAACCAAAAACACCAGTGTTCATATTTTTAACACTAGAATAGATTTTTCTTAAAGAGTAGTATAAACTAAATGTTAACAGCAAAACAATACTTAAGTGCACATTCTCTAAAAATTATTCATCTCCTAGAAGCTTACAGTCTAAGACCAACACATGCAAGATAGAAGACTGTTGATGCTTTATGTATAAACAAGTTTTTATAACACGGATTAACTCTCTTCTAACTTCAATGCTCATACGTAAAGAGTGTCCACCTCACTGTTGGCTTAAATGGATTGGATTATGGGAGGAAGTCCCACCTCCTAGAAATCTGAAAAACAAAAACAATGACAAGAGGAACGATAATGATAAAATAATAATAATGGCTAATGTCATTAATCCTTGCTATGTGCTTGGAACTAGCACTTTATATACATTGCATTACTTAATCCTCGCAAAAAACCCTACGATATATGCTGTGTCCTTTTGTACATATTATAGATGAGAAAATTGAGGCTTGGAGGGGTTTTGTACATTTTTCAAGATCACATAGACAATTAGTGTGGAAGCTGGAATTCTATACAGATTTTTGCTCCAGAAAACAAACATTTAATCAACCCTGTATCCTGGAAAGAGGGGAGAAAAAAGGCTGTATCTTGAAAGGCAATGGCAGAAAATGTATAACTATAAAAGAAAATATGAATTTATAGAAACAAAATAAATCTATACAGGCAAAATATGGAAAAGTTGGTTATTTTTTCACAACCTTGAGAAATGATACTTATGAATAGATTTTACCAATTAGTGTGGTTATTAAAGATATAAACTTTAATGATATATGAGTGTGTTAATTCAATGGAACTCTTCAGTACCATTGATCAACTAGCATATACAAGCCTTTTCAGCAATGTGGAGAATTCTCTTGATACCTCTCTTGTGTGTTCTTTCTGTGGTCTATACAAAACCTTGGCTAAGTTTGCACTTAATGAATTTCTAGTTTCTAAAGTCTCTAATTCCCACTCTTGCCCTAAGACACACTCTTCTCCTCAGTGCCCCAATCCAATTTAATTTCTATTCTGATCCTGTAGCCTATTAAAATAGATGGCAAAGGGAATATTAAAGTAGTAAATAGATGAATCCATTGAAAAAGGAATAAAGAAAATGATGATGAGATCTCAGAGCAAAAAATGTGAAGAAAAAAATGAACAAAGGTTTTTTTTTTTAAGCAAAGAATGAGGAAGCAAAATGTTGAACAAAATAGATAAACACAGTTCTGAAAATAGCAAATATTTTTTAAAAATACAGGATAACCAAGGGATGAGTTCAATCTCAGTAGCATAAGACATAGACATTTCTAGATTTTAAAAGTACCTGAGGAACTGGATAAAGACAAAAGACTATTGACCTGATCTTTCTTTTAATGGAGGTGAGTCTACTATAAAGTCAAAGAGATGATATATACTCTCTGCAACAGAATAGCATGATATGTGAGCCCAGGTGGAGGTCTTTAGATCATTCCCAGAGTTTGGAGAGAACATAGGAATAGGAGAGAGAATTAAAAATCTTAGTTCTGTAAAAATTACAGCGTATATATATCCAGTGTGTAAGTGCAGTCTTCCTAATATTCATGATCAGAAATGCTGTTTATTCCAAAGTTAATCACAATATACCTGTGAAACCCATTCATATCTTAGCCAGCAGTCTCCTGCAAGGAACTTTGGGATGTAAACATCTAACACCATTCCTGTTGTTTAGGATTCTGACCACTGAGAGAGAGTTGATTATTGGGTAGGATATGAGGTAGACAGGAAGAGAAATTGGCTAAAACGCTGATAATAGGATCAGAGTCTGGAACAGAGATTAATATGGAATCATATTCTACTTACTAATTTCTTCTAAAATAAGTTTACTTGTTTCTACATGCAGCTATTGGACACAGCTTTTAAAAACAAGCAGCTTTTAATTATTGGAATCTAGAGAATGTGCTAGGAGTATTTTTTAGAATAAAGATCTCTATTAGGTGGATAATGTAATGATCCTCATGTGAGGACGTTTACTAGGAAACAGTGTTAGGTAATTGATTCTTCTTTTTCTCCTCCTCCTCCCCCCTCAACCTCCTCATTCTTTTTCTTCGTCATCAAATACTTAAGTTGATTTTAAACTAACATCTATTATCTTTCTCCATCTATGAAATTATTCTAAGATTTGAGGAATATTTTTAAACAATGGGAGATACATATAGTTACAATTTTGGAGAATACACAGGTATTTGTCATTAAAAGGGTTAGTTTATATCAAGTTGTCTTCTTTTCCCGTATACTTAGAATAAGGATCTTAATCTTAAACATTACATAAATTGGAGAGATTTAATTAAAACTTGAAGAAATGTGTTACTGTTAATTGAATTCTTGATACAGTTACCTTTGCAAACCAATGTTAATGAAACTCCAGTTCAAAGTGGATGGGTTTGGGGAATTGAGATAGCTATTTATTTCCTTAACTGAGATGCCGTGATCATCTTCTCAGTAAAATAAAGAACCCAGTTAGGAGAGTTCTCATTTGTAGCTATTGATCAAGTTTACACAAACTGGAAGTATTTCTAAGCAAAACAAATCAGAGATTCAAAGTCCGGTAAACAAGGTCAGTGAGTGAGAGATGGAAATGCTTCTATGCATTTTGAAAGACTTGCACCTGTGGAGCAGAGCCAGGACTTGGTCCGACCCCGAGCCAGGTTCCGCTCCGCCCCTTGCCTCGCTTGCTCTCCCTACCCCCCACACGCTGAACCTCCCAGTTTGGTATCTCTCGGTATTACCAAGCTATAAATTGCCCTAGAGCTTAGAGGCAATCAGGTCAGCACCGCTGTCACAGGGGAAAAGCTTCTTACTCCCGAGCACAATCGTTCGGGGGAAAGAGAGGAAGGAGGGAGGGAACCCACGCTTTAGTCGTCACTGCGCTGGCAGGGGGTGGAGAGATGGGGGAGGGGGCTGGCAGAAACTGCATCCTCAACAACGTCGCCCTTGACCCAAGTCTACAAACTTATTGGTCGCCACAGTAGAAACTCCCAGTGCACTCTCCGCTGCCTGACAGCCCCGGCTGCTGGGTGGAATCGCGCTTCCCGGCCCCACCTATGGGAAGGAGCTTCCCCTGCATCTCCGATCCACCGCACCCTTTACGAAAAGTCTCCAGGTACCTAGCAAGGCTCAGATTGTTCTACCCCTGCTTCCACCCCTGCACCCACACGATAATATTATCAGCCTCCTACAGCCCAGAGGGCCACCTTCCTGTGTCCTCAGTTTGAGGACACTCTTGCGGAATCCTTTCTTTTCCCCGCCCTGCTTTGCTTTCACAACTCCAGCGGGTCGAATGGCCAAAGACAAACTTCTGCCTCTTCTTCCCGGCTCCCACATTTTCAAAACCCCACAGCCTGCAAACGCACACACATCGGAACTCCAAGGGTGCTGTTGCAGTCCGGGCATGCTCAGTATCAAGGCAGATTTTGATTGAAAGTAAAAAAAAAAAAGAAAGAAAGAAAATAGCTTTGTATTATGCAGTCTCCCTCTCATGTGCTTACAGCTTGCTGAACAGGTTGCGGGGCATTCCTGCGACTACCCAGAGGGTTTATCTGGTGCCCTTGATTACGTCTCCTTGGCATCTGTACCCCTCGTAGTTCGCCCCCCAACCCTTCTCAAACCCCCCTCCTCAGGTCCCTGTCCGCTGTGGGGATGGAGAGACACTAACAGAACTGGGATGGGCGCTGTTGGCTGAGCGGATCCACCTATTATTAGTGCGCCAGGATTGGCTCCTCGGCGCAGCGTACCCCAGGTGGAACCAATCAGGCGGCCGGGGCTGGGAGCTGATGGGCGGCCGCCTCCTCACTGGAGGGATTCCTCGAGAAGCTGCAGTGTGGGGATGCTCTAGACCGAGTACTGCCCCCAGTGTCTTTCCACCTCTTTTTCCTGCAGCGGCGGCAGCAGCGCTTGGCAGCGGCAGCGCTTGGCAGCGGCAACTTGAGACTGCGCCCAGGGCAAGCCCCCCCAGGGTGGTGCTCAACTGAGAGGGGGGGCTCAGTGCCCGAAGGTGTGTGTGTAGGGTGGGGGCGGCCAGCTGGGACCAGCTGGTGGCCCTGGAAAACCTCCCACACACCCACACCCACACACCCCTTTTGTGTTGCAGGCTGCTCCTCCAAGAGCAGAGGCAGCAAGAGGACGTGTGTGCACCGGTCCGCACGGGGAAGCAGTAGGGACGGAGCCCGGCACCACCTCCTGGTTCTCCCTCCAGGTAAGACAGCCGGGACTGGCGGCACAGCAGCCTCAGCTGTGCCTATTTGCTTGAATCCGTTCGTAAGATTTTGTTCTCGGCACACTTAGGTTTTGGCGGTGGGAGACTGAGACCTGGGCAGGGAGCCCCGGGTAGCCTATTGTGAGCGATGTAATGAGACCACATGTGCCTCTCCTGGAGGAGCACTTTGCACAGCGCCCGTGATTTAGAGCCTGGAGTTGATGATGTTGGTCATCCCCCATCTTCTTCTTTCCCTCTTTCATTTCCTCTCCTCCGTCCCCCACCCCCAATCTCTATCCTTCACCTCCCCCCCCAACCCCTTTCAAATCTCTCATCTTCTCCCTCCTCCCATCCAAAGCATGCACAGTGTTTCTTTCTCTTCCTGGAAAGGATTGCCTTTTCTCAGAGGAAAGAGGGGGGTAGTGATGAAAGGAGAAAGATTTTTTCTGCCCAGGGGGAAAAGAACAAGATAGAATACAAGATAGAAAATTAGAGTACCAAAAGCAATTAAACTGAATAAAGGAAGTAGACAAGCCATGCAGCCCCAGCTGCCAGAGAGGGGAAGTGTCAAGTTTGACTTGATCTTCTGCTTGCAAGGGGCTGTGTCTCTCACTAGATTCCTTCAAATGGAACAAAAATAAACCACCGATCCAACCCACTTTCAATTGCTTAATTGCTGTTGCTTTTAAGTGCCCACCATCTGACTTTTCCTGGTTCCATTTGTCCTGCGGGGCTGACTATTTGGTCTTATCCATCACTGGTAATGTCTGAACTTGGAGAGGTTTCTCGAGTGGAGAAAAAATTTTAAAAACAGATTATTACTTTCCTGAGGTTCTTTGGCATGGCCTTTATGTTGAGGGGCAAAAAAAAAAAAAAAAAAAGTTTCAAAACATTTGTTAGTGACACCAGTATTATTAGGAGGCTTGGATTTCTACTTTGAGAAAGCTAATCTAGTTAGCTTTGTGTACATGGTGATTTTGACTTTCTTGACTATTAACCTTCTGAAATAATGCAAACATTTAACTTTTGTGTTAAAGCTGCATTTGCATATGAATTGTGATTTCATTCTACCTTTCTGCTGTTTGCATTTTGCTGCCCAGATATCGAATTCATGCCTTGCCTTATTTTCTTTTAATAAGTATATTTAATAGATGTACACATGATGCTTATACAATTTCAGTACTCGATTTAGAAGGTGCGTGGAAGCTCAGTTGACCAAGAATCCTCTTGTACTGGAACAAAGTTTAGGAAGTAATGGTAGGAAGATAGCGTCAAATTAAAAAATCTTGAAGGGGAAAATGCTTTTACTTTCATGTCTTATTATAATACAGAGAAAGGTATCAAAACAACTATGTGCCCTGGCTGCCTGCATGATAGGTCAAGTGAAAGGGACTTGCTGGACAGAGCCTTGACAGCAGCCTCAGAAATTTCTAATTTCATCATCAATGGTATAAGCTTTCCTTTCCTATTCAGCTAAGTGATGACCGTCAGATGGGAGGAGATAGAGAGAAGTGCTTAGCTGAATGTAATGGGAAAGCATCCCAAGTGGATGCTACATGAGTGCAGAGAAATCAGCAGATGTTAGTGTCCAGATAAATCTTTTCCTTTGATTTATCAGGGGAAATGCCAAGTCTTACATTTTTTTTTTTTTCTACGTGTCCACTTCGGATAAGAAAAGGGAGCCTTCTTAACTCTGCCTGATCTTCCACACTAATCTGTGTACCCCAGAAAGTATTTTTTTCACCACATATCTTCAGTGGACAAGTTTATACACTGACCTAAAGAAGAGCTGCTTTCATTTACCATCAACGTAATCTATGTTATTTTCTAAACCATTTTCCATTTGAGACACTTATCTTTCCTATCTAAGTAGAATTGCCTCGAGTCACAAAAACAAGATCTTCTTTCTAGGCCTTTGACATTTAGTGCCTTTTTTTTTTCTTTTTAATGTAGTATTTCTGTTGAAAGCTAAAACTTATTTTTAGTGGTGCCACCTTTTGGTTATAAGGACAAAAGGACAATCGTTTAATTGCCTTATGTGTGTACAACTGAATTAACAAGTTTAGACATGAAAAGATATAGAAAAAGGAAACCAACTGCTTTTCACTGCGAGCAAAATATTTTACTTGCTTATTTCTCCACTGTCTTAAGAAGGGTAAAAGTTTGGTCTTGGTTTGTGACATTTATGTTCAGGACTCTTAACAAATGCTAATTATAACAATGACATGTAAAAGACATGCATATGAGTATTGAGTTTCTCACATACAAAAAAATTAAGCCTTTATATACCGGAAGTCAGAACTAATTCCAATATATATTGAGTGGATTAAAGTGAGACTTTAAATGATATATTATGGGAAATTATTACCCTGTCTTTCCACAAAATGTTCTAGTGTAACAGTTTCATACAACCTTCATCTTTTCTCCTTTTAAAAGAATATCTTAGTAAATCTTATTAATGTTTTAGAATATGGTAATTAGACTTTAATGTATTTTTATCAGAACTAAAGGTTGCTACCCTACAGAGGAAATCCTAAAATGCTAATTTCATAAAATACCACATGATAGAGAGTTGTTACAGAGTAGTTTTGAACTTTATTTCATAATGGAGAATATTAGTTATTCTGTCTGGTCAAATTGTCAGAGAGTTCTAATTCAGAAATATGAAAATGGTTAGCATGGTATGTACAAGATTTGCACATTAGACTTGGTGCTAACTGAAAATAAAACTAGAATATAGTAGCTTCTCTTAATTGTACTTGCAAAATGAACTGGATGATTAATAAATAAAATACAGAATGTGTTAGATCTAAAAGCTAATTCGAACTTCCTGTTTGCCTAATGACACCATGGACATAATATCAATTCATTCTTTTGAGTTCAGTATACTAAATCAATTTATAGCGAATTCCCAAAACAGATTTTTACAGTCATCTAATCTTAAAAAACTCACACTTAACACAGACAATTATGTGAGCCTGAAATACTTATACCTCTTAGGATTTCCAGTTTGTGTAATAGCTAGGAAGAGATACCATTAACTCCAAATTGGAACATCATAATTCTTTTCCTAATGGTAGTGATTAAATGATTTGGGGAAGGGAAAGTAAAAGTAAACAGTTTGATTACATAATGGAGCAAATTTGGTCTACTATTACAGAAAACCAAGACCAAAGTTAGACTTTCTGGCATTATAATAACATAGGTGTGGGTTTTACAAGTGTTTTGCTAAAAACTAATGCTTTCTAAAATGAAATACCTGGAACACTTGTAATTTAAAATAATTTTTTTTTTTTTTTTTTGTGGTACGCGGGCCTCTCATTGCTGTGGCTTCTCCCGTTGCGGAGCACAGGCTCCGGACGCGCAGGCTCAGCGGCCATGGCTCACGGGCCCAGCCGCCCCGCGGCATGTGGGATCTTCCCGGACCGGGGCACGAACCCGTGTCCCCTGCATCGGCAGGCGGACTCTCAACCACTTCGCCACCAGGGAAGCCCCTAAAATAATTTTTAATGATTTTCTTGTCATAAATACATCCGTATCAAAAGTTTAATATATGATATTCTTTCTAACTGAATTTGTTTGCCATCGAAGTTGATCAAAGCTGTTTAAATAGGGATAAAGTATATGGCTGTGTAAAACATAATTTCAACTAGCATTTAAGGATATATATATATATATATACGTATGTGTGTGTATATATATGTGTACGTGTGTACACATATATACATATTTAATTATGTAACATTTTCTAAAAGGATTTGAGACTAATGGACAGTAGCATGTAATCTGCTGAAACTAGGGAGTACTCCTGTAAAAAGTACCATTTAAAGAAAGATGACAATGTCTTAGGGATGCTTTTAATATTTCTTTGGTTGAAAAGACCAGGAGTACTCAGAGGCAAAATTAATGGAGGTCTAGATCTTTTCCTTTATACAGCCCTTCTGTGGCTTAGGGAAGAAGTGATTTTTATATGAATCATGTATTAAAAAAAAAAACAAAACACCTCTCAGTGCAAGATGCACTTTTATATACAGGTAACAAACTGAAGTCACATTTTCACATGATTTGGACATAACAGGGCATTAAAGTTTTTATCTTTCTAAGATTTCTTCAGTGTTTCTTTCAGCATTTGCACAAAGGTAAACTTGTTCTTAATCTTTTACATAATCGACATGATTATCATTGCTTTTTCAGGTAAGGGGGTTTAGCTTGGTATCTTAAATAATTCCTTTAGGAGTGACCATTATTTTTCCTAATAGTTTTATAAATTTGATTCAAATCTCTCCAATCAGTGTGGCCACTTTTTTAAAGCAGGATTTTAATCTTTCCAATCTGAAGAAAACAGTGTTTTTCCTTTAGCTTCTCTGTCATTTTAGGAGAGTTCTTGAAGAGCCACTTTTATATTGACTATAAGATGAACTGTGATAGCAGGGCATATGAACATCGTTCTACTCATATGTGTTAGTATAAAAGAAATGTATTTTAAATAATATTGCAAGTATAGTCATGCTATCTATTGGAAATAAGAGAGCACCCAGTCCTTTCTTGCTATATATGAATAAAACTTCAACCTTTGCTGTATTGTTTAAAAAAGAAAAGCTCTTATTTTAAAGTGTACAACGCGAAGTTATTGCTATGTTATAGAAGGAGTAAGCACCGGGGGTGTTATTTCCGCAGTTTAAAAAATAATTATAGAGGTCCTATTGCAAAGAAGCCTCCTTTTAAAATATCCACTTTCTAAATCTAAAAACAATATTTAAAAGAGTTCTAAAACAAACTGAAACCTAGGTTAGCATAACAATAGCACATTTATGACTGTTAGAAAGAAGTATTCTGCTGTCTTTGAAAAATGCAAAGCAGATTAAAAATGTTTCTGTAATTTCTGTAATTGTATTTAGTTAAACCACAACTTCTAGTTGTTTAGAACTAATTCTGATTCTCTTTGGGTTTGTTTTGTCTCTACAAATACACTCAGTGCTTGGAAGGGATGTGACACACTG